CATGACCCTCACCAGAGATAATGGTAAACTGGGCATTTCCTGGGTTGACTTCACCGATCTTTGAAGCGTCAAGCAGATCTTTATCATCGTCACTAACCTCTCCATCAACAGGAGCAGCGGCCTCCACCGTAGTGCTAGTAGTAGCAGGACACGTTGTCAAGGTCTTAGACTTAGTAATGAATGATGGCTGGGCAAAACCTTTGCTGGCTATCTTTAATCCTAGGCCAAGTTTCTGTGCCTGAAGCAGATAAGCATCATAACGGAGTGGATGCAGAGGGGCTGCAGTACCTTGCGATTGAGCAATTCTACGAGAGGCTCCTGCTGTTGGTTTAGCTGCGCCCTGCCCTCCTCGGTCTGGATCATTTCTAATAGAACTGGGCCATATGGAGGGACTGGGGCTTCTAGCGATGGCTTCAAACCCTCGTTATGGTCGACGACGACGACCTCCTTAGACGAATCACCGTTACTAAGAACTTGGAGAACATATGTGGTATCAATTGTCGTGGAGGAGGAGCAGACCATACGGGTGAAACAGAGATTGCTATAACGACATCCTTCTAGAACGCAGTAAACTCAAAGCATTCTACCAAAACGGCGAGTCGAACACAATGATCAGCTCATGTCTCAACAGCCTCGTATGGCTGCTCTCTCATGACCAGTAAAATAAGGCGCCAGCACCCTCTCTACAATGTTTATCGAGTCGGTAGGAAATGGTCTGCATAGGCTCATGATAGGCTGGTGACGCCATCAAAAGCTTCTGACAATGCTGACAATCCACGCTAGAGCTACTTTGGGAAGGATGCACAACATGACAATCGGAGCTCCAACCGAATCACGCAGTTAAATCAAGGAAGGCCCCGCAAAAACCCATCAGTTATTTTCTTTCCTGAGCAACCTCTCTTGAAGATACCAGAGAGATTCGAGGGCATCGCCGAGAGCGTACGGTATATAGAGCTCTCGAGGCCGTGACTATAATTGTCACTGTAATCGGTCTTACTACCCACCTGCTCTCTACTCACCCTCATACTAGGAGTTTCTCACCCTCCAGATCTAATAAAAACGACCATACAACAAACTCAACTTGCCAGAAGAAACAGTGGGAACACATCCTGCACCCGTATCCGTTACTGATCCCCCTTTGTCGAAGACTCCCCTGCATTCATCTCGCTCATGACCACCCAAGTCGCATGAAGATGTGATCCTGCCCACTGGCTTA